CCTAGCAAGAACTGTGAAAAAACAACAAGATATTGCGGTATTCAAAAACATGGTACTTTATAGTTGATGTCAAAGACAAACATTAGAGCAAAGGTCCCAAGAAAAGTTCTATTGTAACAATGGAAAAACAAAGTGACAAAAATAATATGCATTTCTTACATTTTGTAAACCTAGAACTGTTCTCGAGCCACAGTGGTCACAGGTATTACTGGCTGATAAGTGTTGGGTGTGTTTTTTTTCTCCTTTTTGAACAAACTGAAGAAATATCTGACAAAGCATCTGGAAAAAGCCCTTTGATGGTTCCAGATGTTTCTAAAGGAAAGACTCTAATCTCTTCCTAGTCAACCCGAAAAAATAGGAAGAGCAGAAAAACAAAACAAAACGAGGAAAGCAAAAGAGGACAGTCTAACGTGTGGCGTAGTGCGTAGTTCACCTAAAACAATGCTCTACATAAATACCATAAAGTCTATAGTCTGTATGTCACAAGTGCTAGATAACGTTCTTGCTGTGGTTGTAAAATATTCAAAAGTCTTTTTTTTCTTTCATTCCTTTTTTAGTTTCAAAACAAGTAAAAAGCACATCCGTCGGACACCGAGAGCGTCATTCCGTCTGCGTACTGACCAGAAACAGAGGAGGACAGAAGAGCTCGGTCCCATGCGTTTTCCAAAAGCCTCCTGCGTTCCTCCTTTGTGCAAATATGTTACAAGGACAGACAGGCATGCGGACGCACAAACCATGCAGAAAATCTACAGCTGTGAAGGAAATAGAATGAAAGAAACTTCACCCTGGCCTGCGAAATCAACAACAATCAGGCCAGACCTCGTGGCAAATTTAGCAGGAATGACAAAGAAAGGTATAAAAATAAACAAACGGAATCGAGTATACAAAACAAAAGCAAAAAAAGAATAAAACTAATCCCAGATAGAGATGTCCCTTTGTTAAGACTTTGAGTCCGTAGGCTGCCGTTAGTTTTTTTGTGTATTATTGCAAAGTGGTTTGTGAGTGTTTCTTTTTGTGGTGGTCCGAGTGTGGATTGGTATTACGAGAGTCTTTGGGAATGTCGCTTTTTTTTTCTTTCTAACATCTCCACTTTCAAATCAATGTCGGTCCGCGCACTTCATTTTTGAAAGCAATTCAGATGAGAGTTAATGGATGTGATTTCGATCAAAAAATGCCCCCAAATAGATCATGCTCCAAGAGTAACAAGACACAAGATTTCACAAAAAGAAAAGAAATGGTCCCACAAAAACTGAGAGTGCTGACATCACTGTTAAAGCAAAGAAAACCAACACGATTGACACCGGGTCACATTTCAGCCCAAAATCGAAGATTGTTTGTGAACAAAAAAAATAAATGAATAAGATTAAAATAATAATAATAATAATAAAAAAATTTAAAAATAAAATAAAAATCACAGAATTTTTTTTATGTTTCTTGAAATTCAAGGTGTAATTAACCCAGTTTTCTAGCATCGCATAATTCTTCAGGAATAAAAAAAAAAAAAGTTTTATTAATCATCGACACATTAAAGGAACATTATTTTATTTAGTTATTATTTGTTACCTTTTTTGGCTCATTTTACAACTGCTTTATGATGAGTTCAGACTGCATGACTTTTGACTCGACGACAGGTTTTAAGAAATCACTTCACCCTGGAAGGGCCCCCAAGTGTAACCCACTGTTTCTACTGCACCCATCCCATTCTGAGCTGGAATTTTTTTGTATGGGAGTTGAATGCTCAAACAAGGAGGTTTAATTTTATGTATTACAAAGACATAATGAATTGTTAGAAGTTAGAATTAGTTATTAAGAATTTTTTTTAAACTAGTTTAAACTATTGTTGAAAAAAAAAACTCTTTCCATTTAACATTCATTGAAATATATTAGAAAAAGAACTGACATTTTACTGGTCAATAATTCTTTCTTAAAATGCATATACAGTTGAAGTCAGAATTATTAGCCCCCCTGTTTATTTTTCCCACCCCAATTTCTGTTTACCAGAGAGAAAAAAAGAGAGAATTTTTTTTTCAACACATTTCTAAACATAATAGGGTTAATAACTCATTTCTAATCACTGATTTGTTTTATCTTTGTCATGATGACAGTAAATAATATTTGACTAGATATTTTTCAAGACACTTCTATACAGCTTAAAGTGACAATTAAAGGCTTACCTAGGTTAATTAATTTAACTAGGCAGGTTAGGGTAATTAGGCAAGTTATTGTAAAATGATAGTTTGTTCTGGAGACTATCGAAAAAAAATAAGCTTAAAAGGGCAAATAATTTTGACCTTAAAATGATGTTTATAAAAATTAATAACTGCTTTTTTTCTAGCCAAAATTAAACAAGACTTTCTGCAGAAGAAAAAATATTATCAGACATACTGTAAAAATTTCCTTGCTCTGTTAAACATAATTTGGGTAATATTTAAAAAAGAACAAATAAATAAATCAAAGGGGGGCTAATAATTCTGACTTCAACTGTATAGTTTTGTGAGATTTAGGTGTCCTGTAATCACAGGCAAATCGGTGCACATTCACGTTAATAACAATCACACAGTGAACTATCAAAGATGCGATCTGAGAGAATCGCTGATGGGTCGTCGACACCGATCAGATATTTGTCATGCTAAATATCTGGACCTGTCGGCGATTCAAATCATGCCGTGTGAAATGTGTTCTGATTGAAAATAACATCAGCAAATACCTACAGCCAATGAAAAAGCAGCATCCACTAGTATGAGTATCTGTAGGCCAGCGGGAGGATGGGGACAAGTTAAAAGTGCTCATTTTATTTGGACAAAATTTATATTAACATTGAATCACATTATAAAATATATTCGTATATGAACAGGTCATTTTAAATAGAAATCATTTTTCGCAATATGAATGTTTCCATTGTATTTTTAATCATGCATTTTTCATTTTGATAATGCAGCCTTGGTGAGCAGAATATAATTAAAATATAAGGATTTTGTTGAATTATTGTATCGATTCATGTTACATTGGTATCCTTCTAAAATGGGATTTCGTCGACAACATTCATTGTCATAAATGAACAATAAATAATAGCTTTAAGGCATTTGTCAATATTAATTAATAACATTTGCTAGCACATTAAAATCAGCTGCATCTCTTAACATTAGATAGCATTTAAATGACCAAACATTTCCAAATACTGTAAAATGTGCGTTGTTCATTGTTTCTATTAGTAAGTGCATCACCCAATGAACCTTATTGTAAAGCTATGGTAGCCATTTTCAGTAATGCCCATTAGTAATAATATTAATCTCTGCTAGTTAGTTAATACAGCTGCTTGTTGTTAGTTAATTTAGCCTATTAGAGGTCATAAGTAATATTTATTAATGCATTGTCATTCATTAAAATATGTATTTGTTAATGCTGAAATGAACCTTAACTAAGATGCATTTTAAATCCTACTCTACGAATGAAACATTATAATGTGTTATTAAATTATTACATTTTTATGAAGATAAAGTCTGATATTTTTGCATCATTAATGATCCTTTTTGATATCTTAAAGGGGTAAGTTCACCCCCCAAACAATGTATCCACTTACACCTACTTCCTTCAAGCCATTATGAGTTTCTTTCATCTGTCAAACACAAATTATTATATTTTAAAGACAGCTTTAAAATCTGTAACTATTGACTTCCATAGTAGAAAATACAAATACCAAATACTATTGAAGTCAATGGTCTTCAAAATATCCTATTTAGTGTTCAACAGAAGAAAGAGTGAGTACGTTTTGAGTGGACTATCCTTTTCTGTCCTATACTTATCCTTACAGAAGTCCCCTTTCTGCTATTGGTCAAACAAACAGAAAAGCACGCCTTATTTTGTTAAAAAAACAACAAAAATCTTACATTTTAGGCAAAATATGACCCGAATGCAAGCTGAAATCATTCAAACGTATTTAGAAAAACAGTATTTCTATAGTCAAATACGTAAAAATATCCAAAATCCATCTTCGATGTACAGTACCAGGTCACTGTGATGTCAGCATCTACTCAGACACGGACTGTTACCAATGGAAATGTACAGTGTCAGTCCATAATAGCTTTTCATGGGACTTCAATATCAGAGTTTAAAGAGCGCTCTGTCAACCCGAAGCCTGGAACCATGAAGATCCATTTGATCAAGAGTTTTACGGTGCTACTGCGAACGCATGAAAACCAATAAAAAAACAGTGCCTTCAGTGGAAGCCAGACCACATACTGAAATATATCACTAGAGTCTGCAATCTTTATAATATATAATATATCTATAGATCTTTGTCATATAAATCTACTATGAACAGAACGTAGTAAATACACAATTGTCGGAATCAGTATACAAAGTAAAAGCATCTCCCTCCCACCGGATACAAAACAAAACGAACGAAAAGTTGTGTTGCTCTCAACTAAAACAAGAAACTAAAGCATGTAAAAAAAAACACTTTGTCAACTACGAGGACTGACAAATGAACACGCAAATAACCCGACAGGTAACAAAAAAAGAAAAATAAGTGGAGTAGTCATACGTGACAGGCGTATATAAAGGAATAATGGCCTCATATTGAACATGACGCACAGAAAAAGGTAGTTGCCGAGAGGCTAGAGAGGGTCGTTGAACAAATCACGGCCTCTTCATCGAGTAAAGTTCAATGTACAATCAAAGTCAAGCCAAATGATCTACTGTCAGCATGCATAACTGCGTATATATACAGTTGTATGTGCCGCATCGGCTCTGAAACTACGTCAATGTCCCATGCAGATTGTCTGAGTATCACAGTCATCTCAGAGGCGTAAGTTTTACGATTGTGGAAGCTGGTGGTCCCGCTACGTCCTGGATTGTGTTTTTCGAAAGACGGTAGCACCTGCCCCTAGAGAGCCCTTCTCGCTCAGGCCCGTCCGGCAGGATAAAAACCAGCGCTAAATCTCACCAGGTGGCACGTCTGAAGGCTCAAAGTGGTACATTTTAAAATCGGTAACCAGCCCTTTTTTTTTTCTTTTTCTCCGCTTGTTGAGTAGTATCAGTGTTAGTAGTGATATATGCTAGTGCCCTTAAAGTAACCCGGAATACTAGACATTCATAGCTATATAAAAGTACAACCAGGGGCGGAAATCTAGAAAGTTTGTCTGGAACTACAAATCGTATGACGCACGGTCATCGCAGCCCTATCCTAATATGATCGCAGCAAACTCATGCTCGTTGGCGCTGTTAAACTACGACAGATGGCAGATGGAAAGCTGCATGCTGGTTAACCTTTCAGAGTCGTCGTCTTTGTCGGAGAAGGAAAAAAAAAAAGGAGGGAGGTGCGTATTTGGTCATTAGAGTTGAATTAAGTCGCTACATTGGCTTGCCTTCTTGTAAGTGCTGGAGAATTCAATCGAAGGGCTCCGCTTTTTTTTTTTTTTTGCCCTTTATAGCTGGCAACTACCTTAAAGTTCGCTGAAGTCATGTAACGTCCAACACAAGCACAGTAAAAATGAGGGAACATAAAAACATGACGATATCTGCAGGGAGTTCCTGGTAAACATGCTGAGGGTTTTCTTGATTCGTTGACCCCAAAAATTAAAACAAAAACAAATGAGGCGGCGTAACGTCTTTCCCTCCTGTAACTAGTTTAAGGCAATGTTCTTCTCAATCCATCGAGGAAAAACTCTTTTTGAAAAGGCACAAACTCGAATTGTCGCTCCCAATCACATCGTCCACCCTCGAGGGTCTCGAACGTCAGAAGCAAGAATGGCGAATGAAATGAGTCACTTTTTGTTTTTTTTTCTCGGATAAAAGATTAACAGACAAACAAACAATAAAAGAGAGAGAGAGAGAGAGAGAGAGAGACGACAAAATCAAATCAGTCATAGTGGCTCTGGAAAGTGATGAATAAATCAAACAAAGTTTCATGTCCGAAAGCACCAGCTCTCACATCTAACGATGGAACGTGAGTCTATGTCCTGCTCGAAAGTTAAATGTCCCAGCGGACAGACCAGGGGGATACGCCATCCCTGGACGAGCGGCCGCAGACAGAGACAGACTAACACGGCTGAGTCGCACTCACGGAGATTTCTTCAGGCCGTTTCGGATCCCGTGCTCAAAGAGCGCACATTGTGGGACAAAAAATGAAACGGATGGAGAGATTAGAGGGACATCAGAGGCCTGGAAGAGGCTCTGAGCCCAGAGGGTCACCAAAGCAGTCCTGCCCATCTTCTACAATGGAGGCTCCTCTTCCATGGGCTCCTCCTCAGGCCTGAAACACAAAGAGGTTTTAAATCTTAAGAGGTTCCTTCATCATACGACCAGCACATTTGCTTTTTTAGACATCTATGACTGATTAAAGGGATACTTCTCCCAAATCAGAAAGTTCTGTCATCAATTGCTCTCCCTTTACTTGTTCCACACTTGATTGGCTTTCTTTCATCTGTTGAGTGCAAAAGAAGATATTTTGAAGAAAGCTAGAAACCTGTAACTATTCACTTCCAAAGTATTTGTTTTTCCTACTATATAAGTCAATAGTTACCAGTTTTTAGTTTGTTCAATGTTTTCTTTTGTGTTCAACAGAATGAAGAAACTCTTTCCAATAGTTTGGAACCACTTGAGAGAGAGTAAATGTAGATTTTTTGGTGAACTAACCCTTGAACATGATTAGTAATACAGGGAAAGTTTAATTGATTCTAAATATTCATAGATCTATAGGATTTTGATTAATTTTAAGGGGAGAGGTACAACTAGTACATTTCCAAACACACTTTTTTTCCCCCAGAATTTTCTTTTTTTTGTAGACATCTATTACTAATTAAAGATTTATTTTTTTCCAGTACTGAAAATTCTGTCATCATTTACTCTCCCCTTCACTTGTTCCAAACCCAATTGGCTTTCTTTCTTCTGTTTGTTTTTCCTACTATGGAAGTCAATGGTTACCAGTTTTTGGCTTGTTCGAAATGTCTTCTTTTGTGTTGAACAGAAGAAAGAAACTCATTCCAATGGTTTGGAACCACTTGAGAGCGAGTAATTTTAGATTTTTGGAGGACTAACCCTTGAACATGATTAGTAATACAAGAAAATTTTGACCGATTCTAGATTCTTCACATTTTGCCATTTTTTTTTCAGGCATCTATTACTGATCAAAAGATTAATACAGATTAATTTCTCCCAAAACTGAAAATTCTGTCATAGTTTATTCTCTCTTCACTCGTTCCAAACCTGATTGGCTTTCATTCTTCTGTTAAACACAAAAGAAGGTATTTTGAAGAAAGCTAGAAACCTGTAACCATTTTCCTACTATGGAAGTCAATGGTTACCAGTTTTGGCTCGTTCAAAATATCGTCTATTATGTTGAACAGAAGAAATAAACTCATATTGGTTTGGAACCACTTGAGAGAGAGAGAGTAAATTTCGATTTTTGGCTGAACTAATCCTTGAACATGATTCGTATTACAAGAAAAGTTTGATTGATTCTAAATATTCAAAGATCTATAGCAGTGTTTCTCAACCATGTTCCTGGTTATCTCCTTAACAAAATACACCTGATTCAGATCATCAGCAGAGACTGGAAGACCTGTAATGGGTGTGACAGACAAAGGAGACATTCAAAACCTGTGGTCCTCTAGGAATGTGGTTAGGAAACCCTGATCTATAGGACTTTAGACAATTTTTTCCGAAAATTTTTCAATTTCTTCAGAAATCAATGACTGATTAAAGGGATTTTTTTTTTCCCAAAACTTAAAATTTTAACATCATTTAGTCTCTTGTTAAAAACCCAATTGGTTTCTTTCTTCAGTTGAATGCAAAAGAAGATATTTTGAAGAAAGCTGAAAACCTGTAACCATTGACTTCCATTGCAGGAAAAAGAAATACTATGGAAGTCAATGGTTACCAGTGTTTGGCTTGTTTGAAAAACATATTCTTTTGTGTTCAACAGAATGAAGAAACTCAAATGTTTGGAACCTCTTGAGTGTGAGTAAATTTCAATTTTTGGGTCAACTAACTTTTTAGCATGATTAGTAATACAAGAAAAAAATGATTGATTATAAATATAACTGGTAAAATATAACTCAAATATAACTAGTCAGTTCACCTCTTCCCCATGTGCTTGTTGGCCACAGACAGCGAGGCCATGGCGGTGACCGTCTCTGCCTCTTCATTTTCACATCTCTGAGCCTCACGGAGAGAGTAACCCAGAGTCGAAACTGACCGCTGCAGTGAACGCCAGTATTTACCTGCACACAAAATCATTCAAAGCTCAGTGCTCAATATTACCTCTATATAGAGGTGAAGATGTCAAAACGCCAACAGCATCAGGTTTAGTGTATACTGCTGAATTTACTCCAGAAAACCTTACAGATGCTTGATGTACTTAATGCAGCAGTAAATAGATCATAAACAGTGGGTAAAATAAGTGTTGAACATGTCAAGATTTTTTTTGGGAAATTTATATCTGAGCGAGCTGTTGACATGAAATTGGCCTTGATTTGGGTCAAAATGAAAAACAATGCAAACATACAAATGAAACAAAACAAATCAGTAAAAATAGTTAGGTATAATTACAATGGAATGACACAACAACAAGGTACTAAACTAATAAAATGTATTTAAATGTTTTTTTTATAATGACAGCTTCAAGATGCCTCTTGTATGGAAAATGGAGTCGCATGCATTGCTCAGATGTGATTTTTTTCCAACAGAGCCTAAAAATCTTGACTTTTCTGTGGGTCTCTTCTATAAACTTTGAAACTTATTTCTTATTTAAGAAATTTGTTGTTATTTTCTATTGAATTCACCTCAGGCGATTGACTGGCCATTCTAGCAGCTGTATTTTCTTTTCTGAATCCAGTCGAGAGTTTCCTTGGCTGTGTTTTGGATCATTGTCTTGCTGAAATGTCCACCCTGATTTTATCTTCATCATCTGGTAATGCAGATGTTGGACTGAAGCAGTTAATATTACTTTATACTGTTAATGAGCAAAAAATAGAGATTTTAAATTTCTGTCTGGGCTTTCCATCTCTTTTTACAACTTCCTTTATTCATGTGTTCAATACTTTTTCACTTTCATTGTATTACACAAATATCTTTATTTCTAAACTAATTAACTCTGTTTTCTTTGCATGTATGGGTTACTTCAGTTGTTATTGACATCTGGTGAACATTTCAAGTCAACAGCAGCTTTAGAAAGAAGTTTTCTGAGAAAAATGTTGGTGTGTTCAATACATGTTTTTTAACCTGCTGTAACTGTTTACTCACTCTGGACTTCCAAAACTTTCTCCATGGATTGAATGGCGTTGGCGTTCGGTCTCTGCTGTAGGATGTCTTCGGGAATAGGGTCCAACTTAAAGAAATATAATAAAAAGTCATCAGGTTAAAAAGCCTTAGACTGAATGAAAACTCTGTACTAAATGAATCTGCATCTAACTGAATAAGTAAAAGGAATATAAAATATTCTAACAAACTCACAATACTGTATAAATCATTACTATCCGCTTGTTAAGTGTGACGTCACAAGAACCGGCTTCCGGATGCAAGCGCTCTATTCAACTATATGGGGAGACTCATGAAATGGTAATAATAAACGTTTACAAAGCGATTTAATACTTTCGAAAATCACGATCACAATATATACAGTATGTCCATGCCTAATATCTGATGGCCAGAAAGTGATTCATTTTTTTATAAATTGTTAAAAGTTTGGTATTTGTTATGCAGCAAGCCCAGAGATTGTTGTGTACACTATGATTTTATATAAAATTAACTTTAATGTGTGATATGAATTAAAAGTGATCATAAATGAATAATTTCTTAACTCAACTGAGTGGCGCACTTAACAAGCGGATATACTGTACATAAGCTTCCGGTCAAAGGTTTGGGATCCGTATTAATTAATTAATTTATTTTTTAATGTAAAGAAGACTTTTCTGCTTACTAAATCTGTATTTATTTGATTAATAATGTAGTAATTAATTGAATGCAGTTTTAAAATGTTTTTAAATGTTTTGAATTTTAAATGTATTCATGTAAGTAAAAGCAGGATTTCCCGAATCAGACATCGTTATAATGCTGATACATCAATGGTTAGGAAAAATAAATTCAGATATTCAATCACAACAAATGAAATCAGTTGATGATCAGACCAACTTGCATTTTCAGAAACAAACAAGAAAACAACAACAAAAGCTGTGAATTTAACCTGATCTCACGAGGAAGCATAACTATTTTCATTTTGTTCAGTTTAGTAGCTAATCCAGAGGAATTCATACAAAAATGTCTCATATTTTAAAAGGCGGTATGGCACCAAACCTCTCCCATTGGGGGATGAGCAAATCGTACTGAAATGTACCAATGAGATCATACAAATTCGCCACTAAATCGCTTTGGGATAGAGTTGGCAAAAACTGATCCATGCTGTCAAAGCAGCAAATTTACATTCACATCTTCATGGAGATATTTATGGAACATCTCTTGGACTAATGATATCTACCTGGCAGTCAGTGCATGAACTGTAGGGTTGCGTTTGTGCTCTAACAGCTGTCTGACAATGCTCTGTGCTTTGTGGCGCGTGGGCAACAAGAGCTGAACCTTACGACAGCTCAAAGACCAGAGGAGACGTCCCAAATGCGACGCTGCATTCCTCATGTGGAATGAGGCCATTTCCCTTTGGCTCTACTCTGCATTTTTTCACCACCAATGCAGAAATAAAAGGTCTACGGCCAAGCGTTTCATAAGCACAAGAAACGTGCATGCCTCCTGCCATTCATCCTTTACAAAGCATTTGCTTGAATTCATGTGAACAAGTGAGAAAAAGAGGTAGAGAGAGAATCTGTACTGCTAGCCGAGCTGAAGCTTTGGTTTATTTAAAACAAATAAGACGAGGGCAGAAGACTGGTGGAGACCCTTGCCATTCATAAAAGTTTCACCCTCATGCTATCACATTAAAGAAGATAATGGACTGCTTTCTTTATGCACGTATTTATGTATACAGTTGAAGTAAACATTATTCACCCTCTTGTGATTTTTTTTTTCAAATATTTCACAAACGATGTTTAGCAGAGCAATGAATTTTACACAGTATTTGCTAGAATATTTTTTCCACTGGAGAAAGTTTTATTTGTTATATTTCAGCTACAATAAAAACATTTTTCTATTTTTTAAACCTATTTTAAGGATAATTTAGCCCTCTTAAGCAATTATATATTGATTATCTATAGAAGAAACCATTTTTACAGCATGTTGTTATACAATGACACGCCTCATTAATCGAGTTAAGCCTTTAAATGTCACTTTAAGCTGAACACTAGAATATTGAAAAAAAAATATTCAGTCAAATATTATTTTCTGTCATCATGGCAAAGATAAAATAAATCAGGCTTTAGAAATGAGTTATTAAAACTATTATGTTTAGAAATGGTTGAAAAATCTTCTCTCCGTTAAACAGAAAATTGGGTAAAATATACAAGGAGGCTAAAAATAAAAAAGTTCATACAAACATTAAAGATACAAACACATACACAAGCCCCTGGACCACAAAACCAATCTTAAAGGGAATGATATATTAATAGTAATCGCCAACAATATAATATATTAAATTGATAGATTTTTCCTTTTTTGCCAAGAATCATTAAAGATATTTTGTTTTAATTCTTAAAAACTTAATTCTTGATTAGTAATGTGCATTTCTAAGAATTTAATTTGGACATTTTTTTGTTTTGTTTTTGTCTTTATTACAATATGACAGTATTTAGACCGGATGTGAACTTAAGAGGGGAAGGGATTCAGAAATGTGGATGAGAATTTAGGAAATCTTTCCTTCATGATTCAAAAATGATGTAGTAGACATAATAGGATTAAGATGTACATAAACAAATAAAGATATTTTGTGAAGAGTTGAGAAGACATCCTAAAATCATTTTATGTAGCAATAAATCTGAAATAAAATGATTCTTTGGTTGACATATCAAAACTTTGATTTTTGATTAGTAATGTGCATCTCTAAGGATTCAAATTGGAAAAATAAATATTTTGATCATGTACAGATCCTTTATGTATCAAATATGATGATTTACAGTAGACTTAATAGGGTTAAAATGCAAACAGTTTTAAGGTGTGTAAATGTGTATATTTTCACAAAAAAATAATAAAAAATAGGCGATGCAGTGGCGCAGTAGGTAGTGCTGTCGCCTTACAGCAAGAAGGTCGCTGGTTTGAGCCTCGGCTCAGTTGGCGTTTCTGTGTGGAGTTTGCATGTTCTCCCTGCCTTCGCGTGGGTTTCCTCCGGGTGCTCCGGTTTCCCCCACAGTCCAAAGACATGCGGTACAGGTGAATTGGGTAGGCTAAATTGTCCGTAGTAAATGAGTGTGTGTGTGTGTGCGTGTATGTTTCCCAGAGATGGGTTGCGGCTGGAAGGGCATCCGCTGCGTAAAAACGTGCTGGATAAGTTGGCGGTTCATTCCGCTGTGGCGACCCCGGATTAATAAAGGGACTAAGCCGACAAGAAAATTAATGAATGAATGAATGAATAATTAAAAAATAATTATAATAAATAAATAAAAAACAACAAATTACAGAAATTGAGAAGATGCCCTAAAATCAGTAATTTTAGGTTGCAAAAAATCTGAAATAAAACAATTTTTTGGTTGTGAGATTTCAAAACACTTATCATAAATGTTAGATTAGTAATGTGCATTCCAACAATTAAATTTGGACATTTTTTATTTATTTCTATTGCTTTTATTACAACATGACATTATTTAGAGGAGAAGCTGGAGAGTATGATAGGGAACTGGAATTGAGAAAAGTCGACAAAAATGTAATAAATCCACATGTATATAATACATTTATTTTAGCATGAGTCTTCTAATGCTGTTATTGACGCAATGTTAACAAATGTTTTATTTTAATAATGTACAGTCCTTCATGTATCAAATATGTAGTTGACTTTATAGGGTTAAGTCATAAAGAAATGAATAATTTAGGATGTTTAAATGTGTATATTTTCCCAGTACTGGGTTGCAACTGGAAGGGTATCCGCATAAAACATTTGCTGGATGAGTTGGCGGTTCATTCCGCTGTGGTGACCACTGATTAATAAAGGGACTAAGCTGAAGGAAAATGAATGAAATGAGTATATTTACAGAAAATAAAACCACAAGAGACAAATCTTGAGAAGATGCCCTAAAATTGGTCATTTTACAACAATCATATTTACAATGTTGCTTTGGTGTTGAGAAATTGTGTAGTGAAAGTATTATTGGGTTTGTATATGAAGAGGGCGACACGGTGACTGTCGCCTCACAGCAAGAAGGTCTCTGTTTCGAGTGCCGGCTGGGTCAGTTGTCATTTATGTGTGGAGTTTTCATGTTCTCCGTGTTCGCTTGGGTTTCCTCTGAGTGCTCTGGTTTCCCTCACAGTCCAAACACATGCAGTATAGGTGAATTGAATAAACTAAATTGTCCATAGTGTACGTGTGTGAATGTGAAAGTGTATGGATGTTTCCCAGTACTGGGTTGCAGTTGGAAGGGCATCTGCTGTGTAAAACATCTACAAGATAGGTTGGCGGTTCATTCTGCTGTGGCCACCCCTGATGAATAAAGAGACTAAGCTGAAGATGAATGAATGAATGTTATATGAAGTGCTCATTTGAATTGATTAGTTATTTGCGGTATTCAAAAAGTCTTATTAAACCCATGACTCTGGCCTAGTGTGGTCTTATTGAAAACCAGGAGTTTCCTACAGGTCAGATACTGCGCTGGTGTTCATCAATCTCATGAACACAATCATTCAGTCATGACAGGAGGGCAGCGCTGCTGGTGCGTGTGTCCAGCTGCTCATTCATTCACACTATCCCGCTGTGTTTTCTGACTGCAGGTCAACACTCGTCCCCTCAGGAGTCTCTGCTCTGTCCATCATCAGCCATGTGACTATCAACTTTAATAGATGTTGTCAGGCGATCAAACACGCCAGTCGCCGTCAGCCATCATGACAGAGGGATTTATTTGACTTTCTCAGTTTTTTTTGTCCCAAGCAAAAGAAAAGCTTTTGTTAGGATGGTTTCTGTCAACCTGCCCAAAGCAATAGCAAATCTGACTTTGTGAATGAGGCTGTTCTTCAAAGATGAAGGGACGAGATCGGACCGGGAAACACACTGAATAAACACGCAACACTGCAAAAAATAAAAATAATAACTTAAAATAAAAATAATAATAACTAATGCAATACATTAATCGCATTTTCGCCACAGACACATGCTTTGAGAGCCATCATGACTGAAATGAATGAATGAAATACACGGTTTTCCACCAAGGCAACGTGGGGTGCTGAGATATAATTGGGTAAAAT